TTTTTGATAGGTTGCATATCGGAGATGTAGCTTATTGAATTAGACACTTGATATTTTAATAGTGGATGAAACGGTCAGACATTCCTTCAACTGTCGCAGTTAGAAAAACTACAGATAATGACAACTTCTGCAACACAATAAATGTTGCTCATCATCTACTGCACTGGACTAGAACGTGATTTCTGAGTTGCACTGAACTGCAATAGCTTGCATGATGGTCAGCATCATGTGAACAGACAACATTAACGTAGAATGTCTCGCACAAGCGCATCACCTCGAATTGCCACACTTCATAGTAGCATGCAAACAGCAAATGGATAGAAAAAGATTGACAGCAAAATAAACAAAAATGTATAAGGGAAAGAAGGAATTTGAGAGCCAATGAGAGTGAAAATGGTCAAACACTTGAAGATGTCCATGAGTGAAGTTATCTGTAATACTTTCATAGATTTTCAACACTGACTTCCATGACCTCTGGTCTACTATTCTCAACACGGTTCACACCAGTAGTCACAGATTTCATGGACTGGTGCCACCTCTTCGTGTGGCCAATCTAAGCCCTGATTCAAATTAGAACTATTCATTGTTACTACGAGAAATTAATATTGTCTGTTCACCAAAACTGAATCAAATCTTCCAGTGAATTGACTTATAACTAAATTAATGCATTAATTGGGTCCAGTTCAGAAATCGCTTGCTGTTTCCAACCTCCAGAAATTAAAAGCATTGTAAGACTAGATAAGAAAGAGGCGATGATGATTCTAAATGCAAGAAAAAGGAATAAAGAGGCGGAAATATTAAATAAAATTCTTCTACATATAACATCGAAGTACTGGAACCATAAATTTAGTATACTATGGTAAACGATAATCGGTCTGATGAATCAACTAGCTTAAAGTTATGAGATAACAGTACGCAGCAGAGAAAAAAATGACTCCTTTCCTTCTGGAGATTTTGAGTGAATTGTTTATTGAATGTAAACACAAACAATTGACTTTCAGCATCTTGATTCAATGAACAATAACTATAGTTTGACGAACATGTGATAAACTGTACGCACGACCGTTTGTATCGTCAACCTCACGATGGGCACTATCAATCCATAAACCTTTTTAGCATGAAATGTTTCCATTTAGCCCCGTGGTATTCATAGACTCCAAAATTACTTCAATTTACTTTACTAGTATGAAATGACTAGGGCAATAGAATAAGCGCTTCTCTATATGCCAATAGTATATACCCTGAAATACCATGTGATTTCAAGACTCTGTTCGCCTGAAAAGCAAACATAATTTTGATTAAGAGGATCAATTTTCAATGAAAGAGAATAGTTTGAAGGAAAACAGGGAATTTGTTAGACTAAGGCACAGCCCTAAATCTGAATACAACTTTTATTCCCCGCTGGTTGCTTGTTTCTTGGATATGCTCAAGAGTACGAGTAATTTATGCACGATGGTGACAAGACAGGAACACAAGTACACACATTCACGTGTTTGAAACACTGAATCTCTGACGAATTCGCATAATGTAATAATAACACACACATACATATTTTAAGATTTACGTTTAAAGCTAGGAAACAGGATTTCTAAACGAAATATACTTGCCAACGTCGTTTGAATCTTCATCTATATTTATGCATTAGGTTATTAAAAATTTATTTGAACTATGCTGAAATAACCTATATATATATATATATATATTTCTGGATGAAGATAAGCCTATCGTTTCACTTAAACCATGTTATGTTATCGAACTTACTACATTTACATCTCATATAAGGTACTAAAGTGCATCTGCTCTTAAACTTCTAACTATCATTGCGTTACGATCCTGGAGTTCGTCGGACATCAAACTAGATGCATGTAGTATGCGACCTATCAAAATCCCAGATCAAGCCATTTCGGTTGTCTGAACTACCTTCAGTCCTCCAAGATATGATTCTGTTTTGATGATAAATATACAAATGTATTTTGAACTAACTGACCAGATGTTCGGAATCATTGTAATTCGTTATACATCTAGTCGAAGTGGTTTCTTACTGATGGCATGAAATCATTCTGATAAAGTATTTATGTGTTGCACACAGTGATGTTCTCGTTTGATGGCTAACCTGAACATTAAAACATATTCATGAGATTCAGACTAAATTAGTACAACTCAACCTGGTGGTTGTTTACTTTGCTTAACAATGAGCCATTTATCGTGTGATGGAGGGCGTATGATAATACTCAAGCCGAAGTAGTTGGAACAACGTTCAAACCTTCAGTAAAATGGATGATAGTTGCTAGTGTAAACCAATGAGCCACAGTTTCAGCGAGATTTAGAAATCACGACTGAAATTAGCAGCAAAGGAGAGAAAAGCGGTCAGGTTTCTGCAGTTACAAGAGTCGTGTTACTACGTACACAAGATAACAACACATTTAGGTACTCAACACTTAGATTATGACTGACTGGTAAATCAAATCAGACATAATTAAGTTTTGCTTTGAACCACCAATTGAGTGCAGCAGATTGTGAATCTTGTCGTTTCAGTCACATTCAGATCAAAACTACACCAGAAGTTACCAGAAGAAAAATTCTGAAGCTTTGTAATGCTAATCAGACAAAGAATTAGTTGAAATATGGAGGCTGGTTGCACACCGGTGGTACCACTACTACTTATCGTGTAAGTGCTTATCATATTACCTCATTGCTCAGGTTGAAAGGAGTGGGGCAGGACTCGAACTGTGATTCATCGCCTGAAAGTGTGACTCTCCAGTCAATGAGCCACATCTGTCTACCGCTGTCGGTATACGACGGTATAAGTCCATGAACATGATTTTCTGGAAAACTGCTTTGTCTTTTAAAGCCACATCATAGTGAAAAGTAAGAGTCAGCGTTATTTGCGTGTGATACGATACTATGCACACTTATTAGACGAAATATTTTCAACTGCTTTTTGCATAGTACCATCAATTAGTACCTTACTACTGAATTTCTTCTTGGTGTTATTGATGCGGAGAGTGTTAAGATATGATCTTGTAGCACAATGTGAGGATGTTAGACGTTCACACTAGCTCATGATGGCTAGGTTTTCTAAGTAGGACGTTTAATTTATCCTATGGTTAAACATTTTACTGCTTAGGTATACACACTAGGCTTCATTTCTGTCCAAGAATTGAGGTGAGGGAGTGGGATAGCATTATATGTTAGTGTTTGGTGAAAATATAACAATTCCTAAAAATGAAACGTTTAATTGTGTTTTGCGCAATATCGATACACACCTGCATCAACCTTTAGGTTGTCGGAAGAGAAGGTGATGCTACAAGATAATGTTTCCACCATACTTCAGTGTATCATCTCGCTCATTTGCATATCTATCCGTCTACCAGTTAGTTAACATCTATCTAACCATTTAATCTTGAATGGAATACGAGTAGAATGAGGGGAACTAAGACATGATGATTGTTTGTCTTTTTCTAGTGGACCAAAGTATTTGACTGATATGGGGTAGCGATTGAAGGTAAGATAAAAACCTGAATCGTGATGAGATTCGAACCAACGATATTCAAAATGAAGACACGGACCACAAGTAATTTGAGAGCTGCTGTTGCTGGGATCCAAGTTTGCGTCTCACCTTCAGTTGTCACATAGTATTGTCCAAGGAAATACTTCTGTCCACTTGAGAAATGCAAACAAGTAAATACTAGCCTTCTTCGACATACGATGCTAAGTTACATTGGAAGAGGGTTCAGTTTAGTCAGACCCATAGGTGGCACCAGCTAATGAGGTTTCTTACTACTGGCCCCAGCTGTGTGGAAAGATGTCAGTTACCTGGCTGGGGTCCCCTAGATGATGGGAATCCATGGTCGAGGACTATCGCTGACATGGCTGAAAATCGGTCGCAGTGGCGCAGTACTCACTGGTTGACATCTTCTAAAGCTTGAATATTCTCACTAACCGTTATCTTCAAATTTCTTAGTCTTTCATAACCTTTATCTACTATGATATGACTTTTTTTCTATCAACCTCATTATATACTGTTGTGAAGTATGGCAACTTCGATCGATACACGTATGTGCAAGATTCTACGTTGATTTGGTCTATCTGCGAGTTCAGCTTTGCAGTAGCTGTATAGAAAGTCTGTCAGGGTTGTTCACTTATAAAAACTTTATTCAACTGTTATACGAAGAGTAATCTTCCTTTTACTTAACTCCGTAGAAATTAACCACGTTCCCGTCAAGATTCTCTAGTTGACTTAGTGCACAATAACATAAACAGATTGACGCAGAAACTTGATCTGAAGTGTGTCAGCGTACAGAAAACCCAACTTTTCTACTTAAAGACACTGATATGAACATTCTTCTTTGAAAATCATTAGCAACGTACTTTGTTCCTGCATAGTGCAAATTGCTCCTGAATGACTGAACCGCATCCACGTTCACTTCGATGACAGAGAAAGAGGTATTTAAGGTCATTAACTACTTGAGATACCAAAGACTTGAGAACAATCTCAGTATGCGGACCAACTAAAGACATCTATGGCACAGAAAAGATGTCTGAATACATCTCAAGGATAAAGTGTACTAAGTAAAAGACACCCCTGAGCTTTTTATTGTTGACCTGAACCACTTAGTGTTCCAACAGACAGCAGAAATGAATGCCTGAAGTGGCTGTGAATCGACTATGATTTCGCAGACTGACCATTCTTCACACTTATTTGATAGTTGTTTACCAATACTACTTTTTGTCCTTCGTTTGCTATTTTACCTTCGTTGTGGTGAGTGCGAAATTCAACTCAAGGAAAATCTTGTCCATCCCTACTATGATTCTGTTTGTCTACAACGTCTCACTGACCAAACACTAAGCAAACACAATAGGGAATTCAATAAAAGTCTAAAGGTATTTAGACGCATATAATTTCACTTCGTATTATGGAGACACTGACAACACTGATTTGACCTTTTAGTGGAAAAGGTTTTGACTTCAATCTTAGCCTCATATTCACAACAGCCTTACGAGAAAATCATGTTAGGTTCGAAGCAAGCAGAGTCACATCCTAAAATCTAATTTCATAGCTCACTAATCAATTTTTATTCGATACGCAACGAATTTCAATGGACGGTAAAGCGACTGAAGTCCATAAGTTGCATGATACAACAATCAGTACAACCGCTAAAGAGAGCTTTTGAGGTCAGTGTATAGTCCTGAAATATCGTTTCCGAAAAGAAATTCAAAGAAATCCAGTTGGTCAAGGAGTTCATAAAATACTGGATCAAAAATAACTGTTGCTTTTGAAGAACTTTAGTCAATCAATATCAACACGGGATTTGGCTATTGCTATCTTCCGTATTTTTTCTCATTTTGATGCTTTCTACGTTAATGTGCTGAAATGAGGTGTGACAGCATGGATGTTACGTAGTAATACCAAGTCGCACGTTGATACTAACCAGGACCTAGCGATGTTCCATAACAGTTGTAGTTGCTACATCTGACGACACATCAAGATGATATATAGGTAAATACAGGAGAAAAATATAATCGAAAGTCGTAAAACGTTTAAGAGGACGAGGAGAAAGAGGTAAAACCAACGAAAAATGATACGACAACTGGGATTAAGGTTAACAAGAATTTTCTAATGTAACCTACGTTGAATTTTAACACTGCATAATTAACTCAAAAATACCATGCAAAAGTACTCCTCGTCTTGTTCACCAGTTTTAAACCTCTTTCTGCACTCCCAGAGACAAGTTAACTAACTAAACACAACTAGCACTTCCAATGATCAAAGAAATAGTTACAGAAAACATACAACTAAAAAAATGAACGTAAACTGACTACAAATTAACATAAACACAGTGGTTCAAGATCTCAAAATGATATGAAAATACATACCAATAAATTATGGAAGAAATCTAGTGGTTTTTAGAATTTCGATTTATGCAGAACTAACATGGTAAATCGGAAGCCTCAAATTCCCAATGAACTGTAGCATTGTGGAACACTGTGACGAACAAAGAGTGAAAGTTTGACTAAACTCAAATTGAGAATGAAACGGCAAGTGCGCTGAGAATGTTTCTGATTATTCAGATTTATACAAAGTAACGCAAAATATGTACAGAAAATATTTCTGAAAAGTAGAAGTCATATCTATGGAAAAGAAGTTTTAAGTTTGCATAGATGGCCGGACACGTTTGGCAGTTAACAATGTTCGTTCATCGGCAAAACCAAGAGATCCTCTTTGAAGTTCAATAAAGTCATTCGGCTTCATTTTCTGCCCATTAATTGGATCAATCATTTCTTTTCTTATCACAGTATTGACGACTTCTTTGGTGACTACTGCTCCAGACGTCTTAAGAACAACACAAACTGTGGCATTTGTGAGGGGATCCTTAGAAACAGCACAACAGTATTTAACTTCACGATTGACTGGTTTGCTTTGACTGAATCCCATTACTTTAGAATCATCCTCAAAGCTGGTGAACTTGACACTAACTAAATCTTTATACTTCAACGGCTTACCACTCATCGGACAACGTACAATTTTATCAGGTTTACCCATGAGTTCTTTGTCGAATTTCTGGTCTGATGTGCTGGCAGAAGCCCAGAAACACGAATTCTTCCCAGTCACTCCATTGCGTTTGTGGGGTAAAGAAGCTAGAGCTTCTACTTCAGCAGCCTGTGCAGATGCTTGTGAATGAGTATCTAGAGTATTTAAAGACAGAAACCGTCGAGCTTCCTCCTCTTTTTCAGCCTTCAGTAGCAATTTGGCTTCAGCCTCTAGACGAGCCTTCTGCTTCTCGTACAACTTTAGTTTCCGTTGAATTTCAGCTTTCTGGCCAACGATATATTCCAGGATAACTGCTCGGTCATACAGAAACCCATCACTAGTAACCATAGGATCTTTTGCTGGTTGCAATGAAAGACAGCAACAATCGAGTGCTTTTACTGAGTCCTTGCCCAACCGGATTTCCTGTGTACCAAAACCGGATCTCAGTGCATCATTTTTTCGCTCATAATAAGTATAGACAGTATGAGCAGTACAATTTTTTGAATGACGCGTCATAATGTCAGTCTGTAAAAAGGTGAACAAGGATTAGTCAAATGAAGAAGGCATATATTATGCCTGATGATAACGCATAAACGTTAAAAAATTGTTAAGTGGCTGCATCACACAAGACGAACAAATCAAAACTTTAAAACACTTTTCAAAACATCACTTTGCTTTTCGCAAAGCATGGGGAATTAATGGAGAATGAAGTACACCGTAAATTCGACATAGTTACTCAAGGCTAATTATACGATCCACGAGATCGCACACGCACATGGAAGCTTCCTGACAGTAAAGTGACTAACTCATTTATTTACGAACCATTCGTGAAACAAAGTGTATGTAGCTATGGAGCTTCGTCAAAATCAACAACAAGTATTATTATGCTTAATATAGACTTATTTGTTGTAACTATTATTGACACTATTATTCTCACCGTCAACATCATAATTATGCATAGTTAACTGCTCTTAAATCTACCATCAAAACCTCTATAGGGGACATAAACTTTTATTTTCGTATGGAATTGCTTAGACACCATGATACATGTTGGCATCTTTCCGTATCTGAGGTGATTCTTGGAGGAAGTTTTAATAACAAGAATTTAAGGGTTAGTAGAGCTGATTATAAAATTCATAGATTCGTGTGGTGAATTCTGAATGATTCCTGTAGAAGCAGGCATGATTTGGCAAACTATGCACAATATTGGTGAAAATATGGAGAATCATGTAAACCTTGGAGGAAATACAGACTAACTGCAACATTTTCCTTATAATTCCCCGGAAGCTTTACATTGCTTTCCTCGATAAATTTATCCCATCTAACCCACAATTCCTCCAACACTGAATAGCTTAATATGGATTGTACAGAACCATTACATTACATGGACATGTTATACGTTTATACAACACAAAAATCAGTCAGTCAGGGTAGGTCTTTTCTTAAACAAGCTTTCTATCGATACTTATTTAAACAGCAGAATACACCCCATTTTCGACGAAAAGAAAAATGTTTCCTAGCTGCAACGTCTTGTCTTTTTCTACGATACTTATTTACTACAGACAAGATATATTAATGCAAACATACTAGTTTAGTCAAATTACAGAAGCATAAAATAACCCAACTGAGATAACGCTTCATCAGAATACCCTTTCCATTTGCAGCACTGCTTCCTCGTAATTTCTATACACTACCTCAGCCCACTCTATTAGTGGGTGTAATTGCTTGTTAAACAAGCAAACTTCCACACTGCTTTCAAAATACAATCATCTTAAAAATCATCCCACATACACAACCCTGTCAGCCACACTTGGTCAAACAACCACACTAGTAGTATATATCGGGGGGTAAAAATACCAAGAGCGTAATACCAAAAGTGCAATTGAGAACCACTAGTTTGGAAATAACAGAAAAGGTTCGGAAGTCTTGGGGCCATACGAAAATGTTTTTGCAAATGTCTGACAAAATTGTAGTGTGATTGTGTGTGTAACGGGCGATAATGTTACCAGTGAATCGGTTTTATTAAAAGTAAATTGTCTGAACGTAACGTTGTGGTCAACGAACTTTTCTTTAGAACTTTGTGCTTCTGTTATCATCCCCTAGATGAGTGATTCCGATGCCGTTGGTTTTTCTGACGGCAGCTTCCAATGTTTCCGGTTGCTTTTCTGTGGATTCACGCTTGTGATCCGTGATATATGGTTCTATAAACGCTGGTTTGATTCTGTCAATTCTAACCGTTTTCCGTCTGCCGAAACGTTCAAGTGATAACGTTTTCTGATTTATTAATTACTTTGAAAGATCCCTTATAAGGGGGTTGAAACGGTTTCGCATAACATCGTGTTGGATAACAACGTGAGTGCAGTTTGGGACACGTTGAGGTATCTACACATGTTTATAGTGGCATCATGGGGACTGAGGTTATAGTGTACTAATATAGTGCTATAGATGTTCTATATGGCTAATCGAATTCGGCAACCATAAGATAGTTCCATGAACTAATTCGGCAGTACATGAGCCACACTTTAACGTATACCAAGGATAACTGGTGGTAATTTATCACTCTATTTGTCATTAGTCTTTACTGTAATTAGTGCAGCTTTTAGTTGCTGGTGGGACCTTTCAGCAATATCACTGGGTGCAAGATGGTACGCAGTAGTTCTTAAGCGCTTGATCCTAAGAAGGGTTCATTGTCGAAATAGACAACTCTCGAATTGTGCACCTGTCGGTATTGATGACAATTGGGACATCAAAGTTAGGAATCTTGTGTTGGATGATGTTTCCCACTACTGTTTCGACAGATATATCATGCAGAGGTATTGCTACTGGCGATCTCGTAAATTTGTTTGCACATTTAAAATATAGCTGAAACAGTTTGGTCGAGGTAGCGGCTCAACGATATCAACATATATATTGGTCAAATCTACCGTATGGTGCGCAGAATTTGCTGGTAGGCGAAAGAATATTCCTCTGCACTTTTGATCGCTAGCATGCTGAAAAGGCTGTGGACCACTGTCAAAGATGTCGATTCATATTTGTCCAGATGAATCGGTCTGTAATTGACTTAACCGTAGCTCGAATACCAGGATGAGAAATGCTATGCATCCAATACAAGAATAATAGTCTCATTTATAGAGGCAAGTGGTTTGCTCTTAAAAATATTACAGATGATGGATAGAGGGTAACCGAGTATCACTTCTTGAAGACGCAGTGAAGTATTTAGATTATCTTTTGATTACTTTAGGTCCTCATCTGTCGCCTGTAACTACCATTTCTACAAGGCCAATATGGTCGCGTTTCAAGACGTTTACATAAATACGAGACAAAGCGTCAACTGCCTCATTTTTATTGCCTTTAGCATATTACACATCTGAAGTGAATTGTGAATTAAAGTCCAAATGCCGAACTTCTCCCGGCGAACACTTGTCTATGAACATTGTAAAAGCGTACTCTACAAGAATACATCTGAATTGTTTGATAGCTGATTAAATCCCTAATAACTCTGTCGAACGTACTGTATCGCGATTCCGGAGCATTAAGTCGTTTCTAGAAAAAAGACAATGTTTCTCGTTGAGCATGGACAAACTGTTGTAGGACCGCCCACAGCAACTTTCGAAGCATTTGTTATGACTGCTACTGATGCTTCTGAACCACGAGGAGAGAAAAGTTTCAGAACTTAGAAGAAGCATCAAGGGCCGCTTGGGTCATGTGAAATACTTTGGCTCGACCTTTCAGCAAATATGTCAGCGGCTGGGCTATTCTAGAACAGTTAGGTATGAAACGTCTATGGGCTTTTTAACCCAGGAAAACTTCATAGCTTTCAAAACGAGTCTGGAACAGAATATTCTTTATTTAAATCTGTTTATTGTGGAACCAGTTTAACACTTTCAGCATAAAATATGTGACCCGAAAACTGCAGAGATCCTATGTCGAATTCGCATTTCTGTGAAGTGATTATACCATACTCACGCAAGCGTTCGAAAAGCATCCTGAGGTGCTAGGAACACTATTGAGATCCATGGTTTCGCACGAGACCAATCTTGAAAAAAAAATTTAATCTTGTCATGGAGATCATAAAATCATCTGTGTAAGGAATCGGATATCTATCAGGGACCATGTACTTATTTGGCTCTCGATAACTACAGCAAGTTTGTATATCACCTGATAACTTTTTAGGAGCCATGTACAGGAGTGATAACCATGGGATTTTGGAAGGGCGTATAAGTTCCGACTTCAGAAGCTTATTGAATTCCTGTATGGCTATCTGAAACCTTATAGGGTCTAATCATCGAGGTTTCGATGAGACTGGAGGACAATGTGAGGTGTCACTGTGTGTTTCGGCAAGAACTTCATATAATCCGTTTGCATGATCTCGGAAAATCTTCGTAGTAGGTAACATACGCTTGAATACCTTTGGAAAATGTTGACTGTCAGCGCACGTTTGACTTGATTACAAACAGCAGACACAGGTGTGTCCGAAAGACTAAGGTTTTCAAACTAGTCAAGACCAAGAAAACGCAAGTCATCCTTAGCAGGTGCTGCTGTGAACTCAGCCATCGCGACAACTACATTCCCCTCTTCCACTGACATCAATCAACAGAAAATTGTTATCCACGGAAGTACGTTTTTCCTTCTTCCAGTATTACACTGTCGTGCTCAGATATGACACTCGTGTTTGTATAAGGTCTCCAAAATACTATCCCTTTTTATTATCCTAGACTGTGTGTCAGGCAGTCGAAGATAAAGTAAAGTGTAATCTGGTATATTCTTAAGTGTTAAATTAAAAGGTGAACGTTAAGTATGCCAACAAATGAAGTATGGTATGTTAGAATAAGACCATGCACAGAAGCAATGTTTTACTCTAGGATATCTCCAGTTCAGTTATTTCTTTGATATCCTAAGAAACCACTATCTGACATCGATGTTTCACTTACTACTGTTAGTCACACTAGATAAACATTCGATGCATTCAAACTGCTACACTACTGCTTACTGTGAGTTTTATTCCACTAGATATTAATTTATCGCAAATTCTTTAGCCTTACTACCCAAGTGTAACTTTAACTATCCCCCACCTACCTTTACCTCTCTGTAACGGTCGTTATGCTTTTCGCGCACCGAACTGCGAGGTATTCATTGTTATCTAACATCTGTGGTGTGTATAAATAACACTTGTGATTTTTGAGCTCTCGTCTTCTAGGTCCTGAGACTCAGTTCTTTTCTCTGGTTATAATTCTCCGGTGATCCCAGAAGTCTACGTTTTGCCTGCTTATCGTTTTGGAAATAATGGTTGCATCCGAAAACATCCAGCATCAATAGTGCCAGTAGAGAAAACTTGTAGTTTTTGAGCTCTCACTTCTAGGCCTTGAGGCTCTGTTCTTTTGTTTGGTTGTACTCCTTCGATGGTCGCAGACATCTTTGACTTTTCCTGCTTATAGCTTTGGAGGTAGTGATTTTCTATTTGGAGGTATTTTATTTGCCAATTGTAGCTTGTTTTGTTTCAGTATGACACCAGAGCTGCGGATAAGATCAGTTAACTGTTTGCAACCCCTGCTTCTCCAAACACCTACGAGTAATTATTAAGCATTACTTAAAAAGTGCTAGAAATAGGGTGAGTAGGGAATGAGAAAAAAAGGAGTGAAAAGTACTTATGAAAAGATAAGTGTTAATGGTATTAATATAGGGGGGGGGGGGAGAAATGCATCTTATTGAAGATACTAGAATTAGGGAATACAAGGATGGAAGGGCATATCATCAGTTGCTACTGATAAATGTTCTCATTAAGCCAACTTTCGCTCATATACTCATCCAATAGTCGTTTGAAGAAGTCGTAGCTGTAGATATTTCCTTCGACAGGGCGTTCCTACTGGACCGGCTGGTCTCCTTTTTTTGGTTCCTCTTGGCATCCTGGTGTTAATGTGGCGGTACCGTTTATTATTTCTACAGGTGGCTCACCAGCTAGTTCTTTTCTGGCCAGTGCTGTTTGCAGTATTCTCGGAGGTTGCCTCCTATCTTCTAGTCTGAAAGCCCGTGGTATACTTTCACAGCATTGTATAGCACCTTCTATTTAGTCTTTTACACGGTATCATGCTGTGGCGGCTTCCGTTAGTGGTGCTTTGCAGTCAAAGCGTACAGCTAGCAATCTTGGCAAGGAAATGCTCTGCAAGTGCGTAGGTCTTGGCAACCTACTTACGTTACTAGTAGGCGAATTTCCAAGCCATTAGCCACCCACACTGCTCGACATCATGGAGGTAATTATCACACTCTGTGGATCCACCCTCCAGTTCGGGTATTCCGTGCGCCACCATGGTTGCCATCTTGTGTGTGAGGACTTTTTCTCGGCCGCCCTGGGGCAGGAGCCTGCAATGTCTGGTTAGCGCGACAACAGCAGTATGTTCTCCGACTGTGTGTCTTCCATTGCTGATACCCTGAGAGACGGCGGGTCATCTCGGGGTGGTCTACTTCCTCTGGATAGCCGGCGTAAGTTGGCTGCGATGGTTTCTATTCCCAACCTTCTGCAACAGTCATCCCACTTCTCTTTGTCAGACTATTCTCTTTTTCCTAAGAATGAGTCTGTTGGTATAGGGACGTTGAACGGGATGATGGAATCCGTTCTCTCGTCCTGTGGATGTGGGGTATTGGGCTCGGTAGCCGGTTCTTTCGACCTACCCTTTACTTTATTAAAATCCGTCCACGTGTTCTCAACGCAACCTATTTCCTCGGGTTGTTCAGTTCCGTTGAATCGTTTGAGTTGCGGCGATATAGGACTTCTTTTGTGTCTCACTTGGAGTGGAATTTAGTAACATTTTTGGCTGTACTCAGTTTTCCACTTTACCACTGGTGATGGCCAGTGATTTCCGACACTCTGGACACATACCACATACACTTACATCGGCACTTCCTCATAAAGCCGTAATACTGACCTGGTATGCCACCGTCACAGTCACAGTGTAACGGTTTATTGTAAGGCATTTTTTTCGGAAACTGCAACCTGTTTCTTTGAAGGGACAACGGAGCTGCTGTTAAAATCTACTAACTTTTTTTAGTTCCCGTTTTTGTAAGCATCTGCAAGTAAGTACTAAGTGTCACTTAAAAAGTGCCAGAAATGGTATGAGTGGGAAGTGAGAAATAGAGGAGTGAAAAGTATTTATGAAAGGATAAATGTTACTGGTAATAACAAAATCAATGCATCCTGTTGCAGATACTGAAGTTGACGAATGTAAAGGTGGGTGAGCACACCTACAGGTTCTATCGACGAATGTTCGTGGCAAGCCTTTTGCGCTCATGTACTTATCCAGCAGTCAGCTGATGGGGTTCTGGTCAATTTATTGGTTAGAGTGTTGCACCGGGCATTCACTTCACGTGAGAAGTTTGACCTCACTCCTGCCTCTGCCCTATGGTAGGTTATGCGAGTTATTTTTCGATGGGACTACCGGTTTCGTGCCGATTACGTTGCACCTTTTGAGTGGTCCACTTGGTGAATGATCTTTTAGGCCGTTATTAGATCACCTCCTTTCCTTTTACAAATTTAAGCGAGCAAATTAAGCTGTCTCAGGAGTTAAGCGTATGTTTCACCCATCAGTCCGACAACTGACCATGTCGCCCTTCTCTGCACCTTCTTCGGGGTAGTCGCGTCTCTCTTTAATAGGATGTGGTCTAAAGTAGGTTTTAGATATCATGAGGAATAATTTTGGACTAAGCGCTCCAAGCTGTCTTCCTAGAAAATAGATAATGCCTGCTGCCTATCCCTTATAGTTAGCACCAGTATCCAGTGTGCCAGAGAAGTTTAGTTGTAAGTCCTCCGTGGGTACCCCGACGGTTACACACTTGGTGAGGGTATTTTCATCGCTTCTGGGCTCTAAGACACATCGCCTTGCATTTCTCCGGTTTGATCGAATTCCATTTACTCTAGTGCAGAATTCTCTATCCTCTAGTTGTGCTGTAAGCCACGCTAAGAGTGGTTCAATGATACCCACTTTTGCTAGTTTGGCGAGCGTAATGCGGTGTGGGACACTATCAAAAGCCTTGGCTAAGTCTAAGAAGGTAACGTGAAATTGTTGCTTGTTGTCGCATTTAGTAGTCCAGTCATCCCAGTCATCCAGCCATCTTCACGTCCATCTCGCTCAATTATGTAGAATTTCTTGTGTCGCTTGATCACTTTGAATGGCCCAACGTAGGGTGGTTCAAGCTGTCGACGAACGATGTCGTGGCGAATAAACACGTGTGGTGTCTTTTGTAAACTGGGGTGAAGGAAGACATCAGTCGTTTAAGGTCTAACCAGAGAAGGCCTAACTGAACGCATTGCATTCGTGAGCCTAGTCACGTAAGACGCCCTGTCGGAAACATGTTTGAAAGTTGAGGGAGAAACAAACTCACCTGGTAAGCGAAGATTGGTCCCATAGACGAGTTCTGCAGGGGTGCATCCAGCATCAACTTTCAAGGCGTTACGAATGCCTAGTAGGACTAGAGGCAGAACCTCGGTCCACTGGGGTATGTTTGCAGCTGAAAGGGAAGCTTTCAGTTGTTGATGGAACCTCTCTACCATGCCATTTGCTTGTGGATGTTAGGCTGTCGTTCGGAACCGGATGCAACCTAAAAGTGCCGTTAGAGCGTGAAGTAATCCACACTCAAATTGGCGCCCAAGGTCGGTTGTGACGTAAGATGGACATCCGGAGTTCGCAATCCATCTTTCGACGAAAACACGGGCTACTGTCTCAGCAGTACTGCTTCCGGTCATCGCGTGAAACGATCCACATAAATGAAATTGTAAGCACATCCATTAGATTCTGGTAAAGGTCCTACAGTATCTATATGGACGTGGTCGAAACGCACATCTGGGGCTAGAAAAGAGCCTAAAGGGCTTTTCGTGTGTCACGTGACTTTGCACTTTCGACAAGCTAAGCACGACTAAGCCCACACCTCAACGTCTTTGTTCATCCCAGGCCAGCAGAAACGTTGTGCGACAAGCCTAATGGTGGCTCGTACACCTGGATGAGGGAGTTTGTGCAACGTCTTGGCGACGTTGCGTCGACAACTCTTCGGAACTATTGGGCGTGGTTGACTAACAGAGACATCGCACAAAATTGCATCCTTGTCTGACCCGACCGGACACAATCGTAGCTTGAGAGTTGTGGACGACAACTCATGACGCAGCTCAAGGTCTTCCTTTTGACGCCGAGCTAATTCAACGAGATCAAAGCCCCCGATATGGTTCATCTAAGCTACTCGTGATTGTGAATCTACTAAGGAGTTATCTGCCACACAAATTTGGTGGATGTCTGATGTGAAATGGGAAATGTAATCCAGCTGTCGCGACCCACGCGGGGGGCATTTGTCAGACGCCGGGCTGAGGGAAAAGGTCAACGGTTTGTGGTCTGCGAAAATAATGAAATCACGACCTTCCACCGAATGTCGAAAATGGCGTACAGAACAGTACATAGCTAGGAGTTCCCTACCAAATGTACTGTATCTTGTTCCCACCTCTTGCAGCCGCCTCGAGAAAGAGGCTAACGGTTGCCACTGGTTGTCAGTCAATTGTTGCAAAACTGCTGAATCAGATGCATCAACGGCAATACTCAGAGGAGCATTGGGGTCATGATGCATGAGCATGGTTGCGTTCGAAATGGCTTCCTTGACTTTCGAGAAAGCAAGTCTAGCTACGTTGTCCAGAGACACGAACTTCGTAGTTCCTCGAAGTAGATCTGTTAGTGGTCTCATGACAGAGGCACAGTTGGGGATAAACCTTCGGTAATAACTTACCAGGCCATTGAAAGTGCGGAGATGTTTCACAGTGGTCGGCCCTGGATAGTTTGTGGTAGCCGCCACTTTATCTCTCAATGGGCGTATACCTTTGTTGTCAATGGTATGCCCAAGGAAGCTGAGTGATTCAACTCCTATTTCACACTTCTGTAAGTTAACTGTGATGCCATGTTTTTTCAGTCTTTCGAATGCGAGGTCCAAATGTTTGAGGTGAGTTTCCTTATCTGGACTCGCAATTAGACAGTCATCGATGTAGACATGAACAAAATTCAAACCACGGAAGACATCATCATAAAGCGTTGGAATGTTTGTGCTGCATTCCGAAGACCAAATGGCATGCGCAGGAATTCAAACAGGCCAAAAGGAGTAATAATGGCTGTTTTCGCGATATCTTCTGCTGCCATAGGTATCTGGTTGTACGCTTTGACCAAATCGATTTTGGAGA